CAACAATAATAGAGATCCTACAATGAACTTTGATGGTATGAATTATGTGTGGAGTTTAAATATTTTTTTAAAAAAGAGGGCATCTCTAAACTTTTATTTTTTGTTAGATTAGTTATCATGAATTTGATGTTTGTCTCTGTCTTCATAATGACAGTCATTTAAAAATGTCCATTATTTAGCAGTTTTACTCAGTTAATAAGCTAAAGATAGTATTTGAAGTCAAAAAATGGTTTGCCTGTTAATGATCCTCATTTGCATTGTTGTGAAATTCTGTATGGTTGTTGCATGTGAACATGTTGTCAGAGAATGGCCTGTTTCTGTAACTTGTTTTTGCCTCATTGTGTACTTTGCCGATATACAGGTATGGGCGTGTGTCCGACTCACGTGAACTGGGTACTGGACATAACAATAGCATATCCTGAAGGGAAACCTCTTGATCTTGGAGCAATTGTGACTGGCTACAGGAAGCCCTGCAAAACTTTCCTCTTCTACAGACTTTTTCCATGCAGAGATGTAAGAATTCATATTTTTGTTGCTGTAGTAAATAAAACAATAACAAAGTGGCTGTTAATTAATGAATTTTTCTCAGATATAAGAATTCTGTGTCCTGCATGGTAGTTAGTAAAGTTGAAGAGTAACATGACCCCATATTTCAGATATATTTTTCTTCTGGGTTGTATAAGAAAGTCTACAAACTTATAGCATTAGAAGATTTTCTGTTGTTTGTGTATTTTAAGGGACTGGAGGAAAGATGCTGGTTATACAAAATGCATATGTTTTCAGTTATGAATAGTTTGTTAATATTTCACTTTTAGAATATACCATGTCTATTGGATGACTTTTGACCATGCATGTAGTGCTGAAAAGTTGTTTGATACAGTATAATGTTGCAATTGGTTTTGGGGTGCATATCTGTCATTCAAACATTTAGATTATTACCGATATCATTACAGGTTCCACGTGACCATGAAGCCATGACTAAATGGTTGTATGATCGTTTTGTGGAGAAAGAGGAGCTACTTGATGCCTACTACAAGACTGGCAAGTTTCCTGTAGAGGGTTTCTGTGCTTCTCCCATCCCTCCTCAGGAAGTTTCTCAGGATTGCCTACGGTTTGCCATCCTCCATCTCTTCTTCATAACATCAAGCTACATCCATTTTCAGCTTCTCTCTTATGTTGTGTCATATTTCTGGTATTGAAACTGAAACATTTGAGATCAGCTTTAACAGCAGTATTTCAAAGTTATTTGCATCACTAAAATATGGGCATAAATAACATCCTAGAGTTTAAATTATAATTGTTTTCAGACAAGTATTTTCATTTATCTTTCACAAATTATAGGAGTAGTAACTCTGTGTCTGATGCAGCTCCAAAAAGAAATTAAATCTTTATTTGAGAGGAATTTATTAGTCATGAAATTAGCGTCCTAAAAGTTTAGTTATGTTTCATGTTGAATCCTAAAAATCACATTTGGAACAGTTTATTGTCATTCTAGTGCACTGAAAACCTTCAAAACTATTATGAACCTATAAGAAAATTGTGCAAATGACTGTGAGATATGTGATATGGCTGCCGTTACAACATGGTACAACCTGCTGTGGTGATGAAGTATTGCGCTCCAGTCTCATTTACTGTGACAGAACTCAGCCAGCATTGTATATTCAGTAGGAAAAACTTAGTCTTTGGTGCAGTGGGGACATTTGAGAGAGTACACTTTTGCAGTTATATGAAACATGAGACTTCTTTACTTGGAATGAAATGCTGCCAAATTAAATATTTATGTGAGAAATGTTTTAGTGGTATGAATTTAACAGTGTTGCGTTTTATTATAGAAATCATTCAAAATTCATGCTTTAAAGATATGGCTATGCTGTTGATGTCATTGTAAATGCTTCTATCCTACATGAGATTTGAGGTTCTCGCAGCAGTGAAGATATCAGTGTCGATCTTTTGGGTAGTAACATCATGTTTACATGTATGTAGATATCACCATTTTGGAGGAAAATGCTACTTCCATCTTCATGGCTATCTAGTTGCGAGTTGCTCGGTGTTACTGTCCAGAAGACCGACATTAACTTGCTTCTGTCCCATTTTAGCAATTTTGTGGGTTACACACGCAGGTAACTGAGTGGGAAGTGTGAACATATTTGTTAATATGCTGTATATGAGTTTTTAACTAAATCTTAAAATGTCAGATGCTAACTTATATCTCTTTGAATTTTCACACTGCAATGGATGTGAATAGTTCAATTTATTCTGATAGGTTACCACTATATCTTTTAGATGATTAATGACTGATGTATATGAAAGAATGGATTTCCATTGACTATTGATTGATTAATCAATCAGTCTTTAAGAAAAGATTGTGTTGGAAATGCAGTTCTGCCTTAGTTATTATTTATGCAGGCTGTAAGTTATAAGTAATCACAGTAACTAATTTATCTACAAAAGTCATGTGATTAATTAATTTTTCCTGACCAGTCAGTGGTTTCTTTCTAACAAAATGTATTCACATGGATATTATACTATAATAAAGCTGTGTAATATATAGTCAAATTCATTGAGCCAGTAATAAATGCAGCTGTTACAGTCCAAGTATTGCAATTTGGGAAAAGTTAGAACATATATGAGAAAATTATACAAACCTGTTTAATAAATATTCATGAATTATTCAGAACTCTTGCATATGAAAATGGTTTAAAAATTATATAGACTTGATAATGTCCACTGCTGGCTTTCTCAACTGCTCAATATTTTTCTCCCTTTGGCAAAGGTCACACCATGTTGTGAGCTGCAGTTAGAAATTAAGTACATCACACAAAATGGCAGCTGTGAAGAAATTTTAGAGTGCTACAATTCTGGACTAATTTCTGAACAAGATTTCTTGTGACACATTTCCATTCTAGGAATAGTTGGGTTGTGTACTAATGCATTTTCCATTAAATCAACATATTCCATTTTAATCTTATGTGATTTACAGAATATTTTAATGGTGAAACATTTTTTAATTTGCACAATATTTCAAAACACTTTATAAAACTGACATAGAAGTGTTTTACTGTTGATTAAAATTAGTGATGTTTTGCAGTAAGTTTCATAACAGCTGCATTTCATTTCTTTTATGAAAATAATTCATGTAAAAGTTAATTTTCTTTGTGAAGCCTTGGCGAGGAAATTTATCCCAGTCTGCCTTATATGCTCTTTGTGTAATATTTTGCAGGTAATTACTATAATATATTTGAAATTAAAATCAATGTCTGAATAAGGTGTGTCATTCTAACATACCTGTCTGGTTGTGCTTTTCAGTAATGATCATGGAATCTCAAGTATTTTAAGTAGCAAACTAATTTCTTAATGTTTAGTTGCTAATTGGCTTTATTTTTAGCTTTTCATAATTTTCTATTTGAAAACAAATGTACATTCCACTTTAAATTAAGTTTATTTAATACCAAATGATTTAGTTCTATTATTGCAATGTAGAATTTATTTTGAAGTGTTTCTCAAACTAAGAGGCACTCTGGAATTCCTACTGACATTTTTTACCATACAAAATACATGTTTTGAAGTGTATTTTATGTATATGAATGAATATGCACATGATGGATGTCTCCTTAATAAACTTTATTCACATATTTAATCCTTCTGTCTTAAGATCCCAGGACTAATAATAGAGGGCCGCACTGATGGCCTGATTTACCAGTCAAGCATGAATTATCATTTTTCAGGTTGTCTGCATTAAAAAGACATGAAATTTATGTTATTTTCTTGGCATCAGCTATATTATTTACTTGCCAAATGTGAGGTTATGAATACGTGCCATTTGCATTGTGTGGGAAATCTGAAATTTTTTGGATTTGAGGGGCTTTCTTCCACGATCTTCAAGTGTGGCATATTTAAAATAGTCTTCATCTGTATGCACCATATTTTTCAGCACAACCTCAGAGTATTATGGAATGTATACATGTGATCAACATTTGACTTTTCAGCAAAACGCATAATACAATTTTAAGGAAAATGAAAAATGGTGATTGAAAATGCCTTAAAAGTAGTATACATGATATTGGTGATCAGGCCTAGTACACAGTGTCTCAATATGTGGACCAAGTGAGTGTAAGAGTAGTTTCCCTCTAATATTAAAAGTGAATCTCCATACATCCCCATCACTGCTTTGGATTACAATGGAACATAGATTTTAGAGACTGAAATTTAGAATATTCCCCCCACCCCACAAGAGATCAGAGCTTTAGTATATAGATGATCAGAAATCAGGTATTAATGATGTGAACAGTAGATACTCATAAATGTATTTATTATTGAAACAGAAGTGAATGTCTTGAATATCTGCCCTCTTTTTTATAACTATCCCAGAATGTAGACCCCTAAAACATTGCTCATTTTTTAACACTTTTATTAAAACTAAGATTATATAAACTGGTGGTACAGTTAGGCAGTGTCTGCTGATATTTGGAGAATTAGACACACAGTAACTTAGCACGTTGTATAAATACTCTTCACAGTAAAGTTCTTAAAGTATTTGTCAGTTTAAGGGATGTACACCTTTAAATTTTGTTCACATTAAGTCTTGCATTTCTTTTAATGGACTGTCTTTTTTGTGCATATTTCAGAGTTCTCTTAAATAATTTACTGTTCTCCTGTGGTATGATATTTGTAGAAACATGTACTATAAACACTTTTTTTAATAATTGTTTATTATCTATCTTGACCATAAATGACCACTTTTTGGTAATGAGTAGTGCATTTAAGATCTCAAACTGCGAATCATAGCAGTATCGTAATCAATTGAAACATGCAAGTTTATTAATAAACTGATTTAATCTGCTGTATTGTGAATGTTTTATATATTAAATCTTAACATAAGGTTATCATTTGTGGCTGAAATGTATTCTGAACAGTTATATATAAAAAGTGACCACAGACAGTGTTTTTCTTATAAATATAAAAAATTGCAAGAACCAGTCAGGAGGTTTGAAATACTTTTCAGTTTGACAGATTCTGGATTTCAAATATTGTGCCAGGTAGCCTGTCTCAAGCCTATAAGTGATTGTCTCGAAGTTTGAGAAACACAACATAATTCTAATAGCATATCAGGTCAAATAAGGAACATGACTACTATTGTCTTGAAAGCTTGCATTTGTATTGAGAATGTGAAGTGCTTGTTCTGCTGTAAGGCTTTAAATTTTCAAATGTAAACAACTGAAATGTATTTTTTGAAGTGGGACTTGTGTTAAGACACAAGGCATCAATTTTTAGGTGCTATTCATACTCTAGCATGGGTGAAGAACACTTATGGGCTCATGTGTGTCTATCACACTTCTCACAACAATGAGATCTAAGGGTTCCAACTGTTTGGACATACTCTGGCACAACAATGACCTGGGATCACACTAGTGTGAGAATGAACCAAGGGTCAACAATGAACTGGGATTGCGGTGGTAGCACATATGCACTCTATAATAAATCTGTTCTATTCCATATTTGTATGGTTGCTGGATATATAGGATTTTTTTCTGTTTGAATTTATTTCTTGTAAGTGGAAAGATATGTAAAAACATTTCTTTGACTGGAATGAAATTTATTTAATGACATTTACATTCTTACAAAATTAAATCATGTAAAAGAGCTTTATTACAAAGTTATGCTCACTGCATGTTCCAGCACTGTCCACACACTCTTATAATATTATCAGTGCATTTTGACAGATATGCTTGAGGAGTAATGTGATACATTACTAAAAACAATGAAGTTCATTTTCAGTATGGCCCTTGGTGTTCAGTACATGTCTTATTGTGTTAGAAAAGTGTGAAAGTGGTATTTTTACCTGACATGATGCTGTCCTCAAAAGACTATAATGAATATACATTGCTGTGTAAACCTCACCTTTCATATTGTCCTTGGTTCTGATTTATAAATGTATTCTTTGGTCCATCCTCACAGAAAGAATTCTCTTGATGCTATTTCTGGAATTCAAAACATATCATCTATGTCTTCATCAAACTGTCCACCATTTTGAGAAATGCTTATCTAACCAGCTACAAGGAGTTAATGCACAGTGTGGTAGAGTTCCACATTGTTGTCCTCCAGATGTGATAGGTTGTACAATATTTTAGGCTACCTCCAAGTGTCACTTACTGGCTCATAATAAAAATTGACCAACAAGTGCCAGAATCACTTGACACAAAACTGTTAACTAGAGCCTAGACTGCAATACATCAACAATTATGTCTATCAGAGATTTAAACTGCTGCTTGTGACAAAAGGCAGTCTTTAAGTTCAAAATATTGGATGCCCCC